TGGGCCCCAGAACTCACAGGGCACCCCCATCTACCTACACACACACGGACACTTGCTTTTCCTTTGCCTTCTCGTCTCCCTGATATCTAAGCACTGACACCTGTTGTGGGTTGTATTTTGTCCCCCCCAAAAGGTACATTGACGTCCTAATCTCCAGAACCTGTGAATGTGACTGTATTTGGAAATAAGGTCTTTGCAGACGTAATCCAGTTAAGATGAGGTCACTAGGGCTGGCCCTAATTCAATATGGCTAGTGTCCTTATAAGAAGAGGACAAGAGAGATAGATGGACACATGGAGGGGGGCCAAGGATTGCCAGCAACACCAGAAGCTGGGAGAGCAGCCTAGAACAGATTCTCCCCTAGAGCTTTCGGAGGAGTGTGGCCCTGCCGACACTTGATTTTGGACTTCCAGCCTCCAGAATTCCGAGAGAATAAATTTCTGCTGTCTAAGCCCCCCCGGTTTGTGACACTTTGTAACGGCAGCCCCATGGGACCAGTGCAACCACTCTTCTCATCCACAGTAACTTCCTCATTGCTTTCAGCCTGTCTCCCGCCTTCAAATTATCATCCATAGTCTGGAGTTTCCCAAATTGATGTCCTCGATGTGGCCCTCTCCCCTAACTCCCTGACTCACGTGTCCCAGTGCATTTCCCAGTGCCTGTCTCAAACGTGCTGTGCCCGGAGCTGGCTCTTCCCTTCCAAACCTGTCCTTTCCTGCCCTTGCTATTTCCAGTGGTAGCTCTGTTCTTCCAGGTGGTCAGGCCGGAAATCTTGCAGAAATAAGCCTTTATTTCCTTGTTTTGCAAATAAAGCTGGCTGAATTGGTTGCTTGGGCTCATTTTTGACTCCCCATTTCTGCTGACATCCTAAATGTGATCTCTCTGTCAATCTTATAGCCGCTATCCCAGAGTCCCTTCTCACATGCCCACTGTCACACCTGTCTAGGGGTTGTCGTCACCCTCCCAGGAACTTGAGAGGTTTCCTGACTGGTGTCTGCTTCCATGTGTTTGTGTCCCTCAGGTTGCTGAGCGACTGCTCCTGCTGTGACTCTGCCGAGTGGGTTACCACGCACCCTTCTTCAAAGCCCCCAGGGCTCCTCGTTGGCCTCGGGCCCCATAGCGGCCCTGAAGCCTCTGCATGGTGTGGGTGCTGCTACCCTTTGCCCTCTGAGCTCCTTGCCCTCCTCCTGGCTTGTTCTGCGTCCCGTAGGCACTTCCCTACCCCCTCGTGCTCCCTTGGGGCCTTTGCTTCTCCTTGGAATCCTCTATATAAATAAAGGACAGCGGGGTGCCTGGGTGGCTCAGTTGGTTAAGCGTCTCAGCTCAGGTCATGATCTCTCAGTTCGTGGGTTCAAGCCCTGCGTCGGGCTCTGTGCTGACAGCTCAAAGCCTGGAGCCTGCTTCAGATTCTGGGTCTCCCTCTCTCTCTGATCTTTCCCCACTCATGCTCTGTCTTTCTCAAAAATAAACTAAAAAATAAGGAAAAATAGAGAAGAGTGTATACGTTAATAATATACAATTAATAGTATGTATATGTTGCATACAATTAGTAACATAATGTATGGGTTGTATATAATTAGTAATATAATGTATACATTGTATACAATTAGTAATGTAATTCCTTCCTCCCTCCCTTCCTGAAGTCCGTCCTGTGTTTGTCTGCCGTCCCTACGATGTCTTACCTCTGAACTACTTCTCTTTCTTCTCTCCTTGGCACTTAGGAGAATCTAGTGTTCTATGTCTTGTGCTGATGGATTTGAAAAATTAACTGGTTCCTGTTCTAGAATATAAATAAACCTTATGAGGATGGGAACTTTGGCCCCTTGGTTCACTGCCGAATCTTAGAACCTCGGAGAATGTCTGCCATGTGGTAGGCGCCCCGTAAGATCATAATATTTGTTGGATGAATGGATTGACAAAACATTTTAGTGGAATGTGCTATTTTTATAATAGTTAATGTTTATTTTACCATTTGTGTGTGTGTGTGTGTGTGTGTGTGTGTGTGTGTGTGTGTGTGTTTGCTTTCTTTTTTACTTTTAATTATGATAGTTTTAAAACCTGGAGAATAGAGAGGATAGTGTAACAAGTACCCCGCATATGCATGATCTAAATTTAACAGTTATTAGTATTTTGCCTTTTTTGCTTCATCTAATTTGGGGGTAAATTACAGACATTGTGCATTGTGACACAGGCACTTTTCTAACATTAAGGACGTACCATTAACATGCCTACTGAACCTGACAGTGAATCTTTGTTATTTGATACATTCTGTCCATATTCAAATTTCCTCATGGTCTCAAAATGTCTCTTCCAGCTGGATTGTTCAAACCAGACTCTGGTGAAGAGCCACTCATTGTATTTGATCATATCTTCTTCTTCTTCTTGTTATCTTTTTTTGAGAGAGAGAGCGTATGTGTGAGCACACGTATGGGCGGGAGGGGGGCAGAGGGAGAGACAGAGAATCCCAAACAGTCTCCACACCCAGTGCAGAGCCCAGTGCGGGTCTTGATCCCACGAACCGGGAGATCATGACCTGAGCTGAAATCAAGAGTCCCGACACCTAACAGACTGAGCCACTCAGGCGCCCCTCTTTTTTTTTAAATAATAAAAACCCACTGAGAATTCCTGGGATGGTGATTATCGCCCCCCATCCTGAAGGGAGGAACCAACACTGTAGGAAATCACTCAGAAGTCACACAGTCCCAACACCTCCTGGCCAAAACAAGAAGGAGAAAAATCATTCCCCTGAGGATTGGTCGGGCTTTGTTCATCCAAGAAGGATTGGGAGGACAGACACAGAAGGGACCCTCGCGTGACACTGGGGGTGGGATGGCGGTGTGCTGGACCCCAAGCTGGCTTCTTCACAAGCTGGGGGAGACACAGATCCACTTCTTCTCTGGGGTTGGAGTTCTTGGTCACCGGGCTCATTTCTTACCCTTGGTGAGACTGTCACTGCCCCAGGGAAAATTTCCATTCTGTAGGTCCAAGACAAGTTTGTCAGTAGTGAGGTAGATACAGTTCTATGATGAAGCCATCATCTGGGAGATGTTCTGGGCTGCCCAGACTTTGTGTGGTCTGATACAGCCAGGGTTCCTGCTCAGGGCTTCTTCAGGGTGAGCAGGTTGGGGTCAAGGGTTCACACAAGGTTTGGTCTCAACCCCTGTTCCCATCCTTACTCCTCTAGCCCTTCTTTGGGCTGTCAGATCCAAGGTTATGCTCAGATAGCTCATGCCCGGTCCCACTTTGGTCCCCACCTGTGGACCCGCTTGCAGGCAGCTGCTGTATTTGGTCGTATCTTCTACGTCTCTCTTCCTCCAGACGGGGTCTCCCCCTCTTCTCTCACCCCCTCTCTTGCCTTTTTGTGCCCTGTGACACTGACTTGCGGATCACTGTTTTGTGAAATGTCTCACCTTCTGGATTCTTCTGATTCCTTCCTTCCAAAGTTGTTGAACTTGTTCCTCTATCCTATGTATTTTCTGTAAACTCAAGTGAGTTTTAGTGGTCTGTTTGAATTGAGTTGAATAATATTTTATCTTTGAAGCTACTTCTCTGTGGCCACGTGCAGCTTTGGGACATACCCTCGTGTTAACAGAGGGGTATTTTTCCTCTTTTGAAAGGCCTAGCGTTTGCATGAAGGTAGCATAAGAGCCTGGATCTGTGTTTACTGTGACAATTTGATTTTAATACATTTGGTGTTGACCTCTTGGGGTGATGACTCTCTCGGCCCATAGTTCCCTGGTACCCCACCATGGAGGGAGGCCTGTGGGTCCTCCAGGGCCCAAGAGGAAGTTGCAGCCTCCTGGGAGGCTCTAGGGCCCCTGCTTGTTTCAGGGGTAGAATGGAGAGCTTTGTTCTGGGTTAGGCGGGGTTTCTGGTAGGCTCTACTTCACCCCCCACCCCCCGCCCATCCCCACCCCCGAGACCCACATTTGGCAAAGAGAAAGCACGTGTTGAGTTTCCCATTATTTTCCCATGTGAAAGTCAGGTCTCCCCTGCTGGTGACCTGTCAGTGGCTGGTGGTGGTCAGCTTGTCCAGGAGAGGAGTTGAAGGTTCTCCAGAGGCAGAGAGCAAATGCTGTTGTCTCCGTGCCTGGTCTTCTGTGACTGCTTTCACCTGGCTTTTTATGGTATTTCCCCAGCTAGGATAATGAATTTCCTTGAGGGGCAAAAGTAGAAAGCTGTAAATTTTCTGCAGAATGTATAGACTAGAGGATTACTAATGAATTCTAGAGCTGGAGAAGACATCGAAGGATTTAGGATATTATGTAGGATAGAAAATTTAATAATGAGCTGTATTTATTTCTCTGGGTCCTGGCTTCTAAACAGTTTACAGGTTACCCTTAAACAACATGGGGATTAGGGGAGCCACCTGCCCCCCAGTGCGGTCAAAAATCCACAGCATATACCTTTTGGCTCCCCCAAAACTTAACTACCATAGCCTACTGTTGAAGCCTTACTGATCACATAAACAGCCAATTAGCATGTGTTTTGTGTGCTATATGTATTATATACAGTATCTTTACAATAGGGCAAGCTAGAGAAAAGGAAAAATTATTAAGGAAATCATAAGAAAGGGAAAATACATTTATAGCACCGTACTGCATTATTTTTTTAAAGTTTTATTTGTTTACATTTGTTTACACCCAACGTGGGGCTCTAATTCACAACCCTGAGATTGAGTCGTATGCTGTTCCGACAGAGCCAGCCAAGTGCCCTAGCACTGTATTGTGTTTATCGAAAACAGCCCGCATGTAAGTGGACCCATGCGGTTCATAACTCACGTTGTTCAAGAATCCACTGTATTTTTATAGCGTAAACATACTTCGTGGACTTACTATCGATTGTGTGGTAGCACAGATGTTTGGAATATGTTACTTTAGCTCTTTCTGGTTGTGATTTAGGAAGTACTTCTATTACCAAAATGGCATTTTAAGGGAAAGCTACCCTCACCGAATGTAAGGCCAAATTATGACCTTTTCATCTCTTTCTTTGTAACACAGGAAATCTGGGATCCTCTTATGCAGTGGCTGGGGAAGCATGTGGATCCTGAAGGAGTAATCAAGTCCAGCAAGCTCTCCCTTAAGTTTGTTTCATCCTACACGTCCAACATAGAAATCACCCCATCTGCTCTACCCGTGGTGACTGACATGGAGTCCTTCTTATCAGAGAATTTTAACTTACAGATCTACCGACAAAATCTGCAGACAAAGCGACTTGGAAAAGTAATTCTGTTTGCCGAAGTGACGCCCACCACGATGAACCTTCTGGACGGGTGAGTTCTGGCCAGACGTCGTGCACCGGCTCAGAGGAGTCTCATTATATCGATTGTTCTGTCTACCCAGTGCTGGGGGAGAAGGGGTAAAGATGACGAAGGAGAGTTCTCATCAACCCATTAGCAAGGTGGGAATACCCTTGTCCTGTCCGAGGTAAAGCACAGGGAGAAAAATTAAATAATGATTTCCTTGACCACAGATTCGTATTTTAAAGCTAAAGCAGGGGATTTTGTACATTGTGACCCACCTCCTTTAGTATCAGGCCTTTCAGATGATCCTTGGCGAAAGAACTTTATGAAAAAACGTCTTTAACAGGTGGCATTATTACTCAGGCCATCATTTGATTTTTCGTATTGGTATAGCCAGTGTTAAACATTTAGTTGAAAATGTTTTGCGGGAGCACTAGGATAGCAAATCTGAACGACACGTATGCTGCGTTAGATGGAAACGCAGTGGAGATTTCGTACTTTTGGAAACCTGTTTTGATGTGTTCCCATCCAGCACATTTTGTCGGCACTCTGCTGTCCCATTCGGATGTTCAAGATTTATTCTTCCTGAGTTTTCCTTCTTATTTTTTCTGTCTCGTGGACTTTTTAAAAAAAAAGTTTTTATTTAAATTCCAGTTAGTTAACATACGGTTTTGGGTGTACAGTGTAGTGATTCAACACTTTCGTACCTTAATCCCCATCACCTATTTTCCCCACCCCCCACCCGACCACCCACATGTCCTCTGCAGTTAAGTGTCTGTTTCTTGGTTTGCCTCTCTCTTTGTTTTTTTCTCCCCTTTGCTCGTGTTTCATGGACGTTGGTTAAAGGTTAAAAAATGGCAAACAGATGAAAGGATTTTTTTTTTTAACTCTTAAATTAGTATTAATCGGTACTCTTCTATTGAGATAGTTTAAAACGTAGGCTTATAGAAGGAGTGAATAAGAAAGACATCTTCCCTCAACATGGGACTAAAATTTCAGGAATGTTAAGACTCTAAAAGAACCACTGGATTTACAGTTTCTAGGCATTTTCTTTCATAGGACTGCACAATTAGATGCATAATTCAATGCAGGGAAATATTTGGGGCTTTCTTAATAATTTCTGGAATTCGGTAATATGTTGATACGGTATGTTGAAATGATACAATACCTTAGTATTTTCTTGACTGTCCTGCTCACACCTATGCCCTTCTCATGGAACTGGCAGTTTTATGTGGGGATAGTATGTAGAGAAAGCACCAGTGTAGTGGAATTGGTAGAGTGAGGCAGGTGTAGTGGGAAGGGGAATATGAGCCATGGTCATGAACAGTTCTTGTTTGCTGTTTTTTCTTGTGTTGTCAGGTACTTTCATTTTTCAGCGTTCCCACCCTCTCCCGCCTCCCCTCCTTCCCAGTCCCCTGTTCTCAGATGAGCAGGAAAAAGCCTGTGTTGGTATATGGAACGATCATTACTTGCTTGTGTGAACTCTGTGATAATCCTTTGTTACTCAAGAGAACACTATATTGAAAATATTGAAAAGGTGACCTATTATTATTATATTTTCCAAATAAAAAATCAGACATAGTACTTAAGATAAGATTCGGAGAGATTAAATTTAAATAGAAAAATATTGGCACGTCTTGTCTGTTTTTGTTGGACAATCAGCGAAGAATATTTTATGTTGGGATGATCTTGAATTAGTGGAATGATGGCCTCTGAGCTTATATAGCGGGCAGTGCATTACTAAGAGGGCTCTGAGCCCTTTCGAGTGAATGGACTGTGTCTCCTGTGTAATCGGATGGTTGGGTTTCTTTATATCCTGGTGAGCATGTGTTTTAGGATAGAAGAAAAATGCCATGTAAATACACCTGCTTTAGTGCCCTTGGATCTTGGTAAGTTCCTTTTTGATATTGAACTTTTGTTTTTTGTTTTTGTTTTTTTTTAATTCTGTCTTAAGCAACTCGGGTCTGTAAAAATGTGTAGGTGAGCTCAACAGTAGTGAAGTCAGAACCTTCTGGAGGATAAAGAGTTTTTATTTTTACCAAGGAAAAAGAATATTTTGGCCTTTCCGAGGGCATTTGGGAAGCTTCTTTGTTTCTCTTCTTGTCTGGTCTCTGTAGAGCACAGAGAATGAAATGGCTTTGATGATTAATGATTAATCCCTCCGCCTGGCACAGAGCAGATATTGAATAAATAAATAGTGGCTGCTCTGTGTAACTTACAGATGTCTTCTTCCACTGCTCGTGTGGGTCCGTCCTAACACTAACAGATAAAGTTACTCACTGCAGCCTCGTGAGTCAGCAAGCCTGGTGAGAAGTTCCTGGGGGTGGGGTGGATGGACTGTAGCCTTTTTTAGGCGAAGGACTTTGAAGTGGTCACCTTGGTGCCAGAAACTCAGTTGTACACAAAGGGACCATGAGATAGATATGTGAAATATATGGCTTATCGCTCTCTGAGAGTGAGACCGAGACCATTTCTGTAGCTGATACTCTATTTGATCCCACGTGGGCTGTCCTCATGGAGGCACAGTCTATGGTCGTGGTAATAATAATAATAGCAACTAACATGTATTAGAAGCTTTTATCTTCCAGCCACTGGTGCTGCGTATGTTACACATATCCATCAATTTCATACGTCATCTTTTAGTGCCTAGGGCCATCAGAGTCAAACTCTAGTATCACACCAGCATGTAGGAAGCTACGTATCACAATTTACTGTATGTGAATTGTTCCTGTGGACTGACCACATCAATAAGTCCAGGGCAAGAAGACTTTTCAAAACTGTGGCCTGGGTTTGAACTCTGTGTGTGCCTCTCTCTTTACATCTGTTACCTCTGTGGCTCTTTCCTTATAGTCTGGAATAGAAGTAAAATGTAAATTACATACTCTTTATTATAAGGTTTCTAAAATCCTTTTTCTGTGCCCCTCCTCACCCACGGCGACTTACAGCAGCTAAAAATTGGGAGTTCTCTTCCCGAGAAGGGAGGGGGAAAGTACGCAGTGGGGAACAGCCAGGAATTTCTGCCACAGTCCCAAATATCTGTGTTGCACCTTTTTCCCCGTTTCCAAAACTCTCGCCCCCTCCTCCAGGAAGATAGCCCTGCCAGTCTACTTGTTTATTTCCTCTCGAGCAGATTCAGGATCTCTGGGGATGGAGTCTTCTTACTCAGGGCTGGACGTGGCTCCCTGAGGTCTGGCGGTCTGCTGGTTAAAACAGACGTGTTCTCAAGGGCACCTGGCTCAGTTGATTAGGCTTTCGACTCTTGATTTCAGCTCAGGTCATAATCTCACAGTTTTGTGAGTTCGAGCCCCGCATTGAGCATGGAGCCTGCTTGGGATTCTCTCTCTCCCTCTCTCTCTCTGTCCCCTCCCCCGCTCACACCCTCTCTGTCTCTCTCTCTCTCTCAAAAAAAAAAAATAAATAAAATAAAAACTAAACTACAAAACCCCCCAAACCACAAACGCAGGCCTGTTCTGTGTCCCCAGCACTCCTGTGCACTGTGCTGCTGTGGGTGAAGTGGGGACCATGGAGTACCCTGGGCGGGGAGAGGAAAGACTCCCTGAGCTGGCGGTAGGCAGGTTTCCCGGCTGTGTCTGGCAGCCCTGGTTCTGTTCTCCAGGAAGGTCTCTCTCGCCTGGTGCGCGTGGGGTCATGGCTTTGCCTCTTGGGGAGGTCTCAACTGCACCACGTCTGAGATGTGCATCAGAGGGGCTGGGCGTATGACATCCACTGTCTATGAGGGTTTGGGGTCTGGGTATTGTTTGGAGGGTGAACAATCACAGCCTTTTCTAGGTCAGCCTTATGGTTTCCATGGAGATAGAAGTTTCTGAAGACTTTAGTAGGCCTCTGATGGTTCCGTGTGACTAGCCGTCAGTGATCTTATCAGGACAGAGTGTTTCAGTCTAAAAACTCTGGTCTTTCAAAGGCCTCGATACTCTGCTCATCCCCTTCTCTCCCAGTTAGATGGTGGCTCCCGTGGCTGAATGAAACGGTGGCTTGGATGAAAAAAGGCCAGGCCCTCCGTGACATCTTTGGCACAAGGCTCCAGGCTGTCTTTGCCGAAGCACCTGTCTTAGCACCTACTGGGGCTGGCGAGACAGCCCCATAGGCTCCGTCGTAGATTGCTGGTTGCCAACCGAGAGCCCCTCTTATCAGGTCTCTTTTCTTTTGCATCCTTTGAGGTCAGTTAGCTCTAGTGGAGATCATTTCTCTTTCGGTGAACTTTGCCGAGGGTGTCAGGAAGGACTGACAAACACTGACATTGTACGTTTTCAGAGTTCTTTATTGTAATGGTACAGCTTCTAACAGGTGCGTGGTCTTCTTCCCAAGCTATAGAAATCCAGGCCTCTATTGAATGCTTTTTCTTTTTAAGTTTATTTATTTTGAGAGAGAGAGAGAGGGAGAGCGCGAGAGGCAAGCAGGGAAGGGGCAGAGAGAGAGAGGGACAGAGAGAGAATCCCAAGCAAGCTCCGCACTGTCAACACAGAGCCTGAGGTGGGGCTCGAACCCATGAATCGTGAGATCATGACCTGAGCTGAAGTCAGACGCCCCTGTTTTGAGTGCTTTGCTACTGCGTGACGATAGTGGTCTCCAGTTATGAGCCCCTGAGACCCATATTCTCTCCAGCTGCTCCCTGCCTCGGTCCTGCACGTTAGACTGCAGTTTTAGGCCTTGTTTTTTGGGACAAGTGTAAGTCCGAACCCTGGGGCACACCCTATTCAGGTACCAATTTTTAGGTCACTTAGGATTAGACAGATATTTCCAAATTAAAGTGTTTCAAGCAGGATTGAAGTTTATTTCTCTGTCCTATAGGTGAGGTAGACTAAGACAGGCAGTCCAGGGGTGGTCAGTGTGTGGCCCACAGTGTCAGGGACGCAAGTGAGTTGCACTGTCACCCTCAGCAAGTGGTCTAAGAGCAGCCCAGGCATTTATGTTCTTGTTCTAGCCAGTAAGCAGGAGGATGTGTATGGAGGGTGTGTCTCACTCTTTATGGACTCTTTCCAGAAATCGCTCATGACATTTTTGTTTATGCT